TGAATTGCATCAAAATGTTCTAAAGTCACATCAGTCTGTACACTTTTTGAGTTTGTTGTTAGATCGCATCGATTCAATTGATCCGTGATGATTTCACCAAAACATAATCTTAATTTCAACATGTCTTATTACACTAGAATCTTTTCTAAATTTTTGCAAATAGTCACTAACTAGAAGTCTGCCGGACTGTCCCGGTCCCGAGGGATTTTTTACGAGACCGTGACGGAACCGAGACCTAGACATCTGCGGAACGGTCCCGCTTCTACAGGCCTTTTAATGCGAATGGGACCAGGTTATTTGAAAACAGTCTAGTATGAAGCATGAAAATTTCTTAGTTTCTGCTTATTTGTATATAGACATCAGTTCTCCGAGAAAGAACTCATGGAAAATGCTAATCTTCAGTTAATATTTCAGTTTTCGCCTCGTGATCACTATGATATTTTAATTAAAATATCACGGCGATCACGAGGAGAAAACAAAAAGGCCCTAGGGTCTTATGTAGATCGAACAATATGATAATGAATTACTTTTCATTGTTTCTGGAAGACTGTCGTTTGTGCTCTTTGGAAAGCAAAATCTATGCGAATCTTTCTATACCAAAGTACACTTGAAAATTGTTTCTCCAAGCAAAGACTTTAAGAGGGCAGTGACTGAATAACTTCAAATAACTTTATTTTATTTTATTCTCTTTAAAATGGTCTCTTCATCTATCTTCAGACGTGGCATCATATCTTCTGGAAAGCCCAAGATCTATATTTCTTTGCGTACGATAACCTTGAAAATGAATGGAAGAATAGATTATTGGTACGTTTATCCTGAGCTTCACAGCAATACTGGTTTCTATTAAAATTTCAGAAATCGACTGATCAATTAAAGCAACCAGAAATAGAGTATATTGTGAATCCTTGAAATGTTTTGAAGAGATTTTGAGTGAGTATACCACTAGATTTAGTCTTGTTCTTATTAAATGATAACACAAATATTTCATGTTCAAATCATAAGCTCGAATTAATCAATAAGAGCAGATCACATTACCAGTGTCAATCAAAACAGTACGACATGGTGATATATAAATTACATTTAAACAAGTTCTTGGAGGTGTTTGAGACCGATTATTTTATTTCCGTACATGCAGTTTATATGCCAATGTATTCAATAGTGTTAGCGTTATTCGTAACATTGACATCAATACTTGACGTATTCGAAATGATTTGTAGAAAACAAGTTTCAATGCAAGTGTGACTAATGAGAATAAAAGAATATTCTGAATACGTTTCAACCTAAACGGAAGACAGAAAAATATCAGTAGCATGAGTAAAAATGAAAGAAACTACCAACCGTCGACAATGATGAATATATTTCGGGATATGATCAAAATCTTCACGTAAGACGTATTTCTTAATACCAATATTATAATCTT